CCCCGCCCCTGCCTCCTCACCGTCATTGTTTGTGTCCATTTGGCGGAAGATCTTCTCAGTCCTCTTTTCCGGGGTCGACTCGTCCTCCGGCATCTTCATCACGGACGAAACCATCTTGTAAATGGCCTGGGGGGCGGGTGGGGAGGAAGTAAGGGGGAGACTGCCTGATCCCTCCACCCCCAACTTTCCAAAAACGCCCCCAGGTGCGCTGACGATCGCCGCTCCCGCCAAGGTGAGGCGGAGAGGGGGTGACGGAGGAATGTGGGAACTGGGAAGTTCCGAGACTGAGAAGGTTTCCAGAACAGTGAACTATTGGAGAGAGCCTTGAACAAGTTCCCTTGGAGCTCTCGGTGGGAAAGGAATTGCAGGCAGAGGGATCTGCACGTACAAAGGCCCCAGAGCGGGCAGCCCTGAGTGGACGCCGAGAACTTAGGGATGGCTGAATGCAGGGGGTCAGGAGAGATGTTGGAGGACATCGGGACCCAGATGGAGAAGGGCCTGAAACGCCCGGCCAAGGAGCTTGTGCTGGACGCCCCAGGTTCCCAGTTAAGTCCCAGGTTGAAAGAGCCGCTTCTCAGAAACTTCGGGGCTCCGGGCGGCCCGCCCTCGATGGTCGACAGGGGGCGCTGGGCGAAGGGGATGACACTGGGCTGCGATGCCACTGTGGCCGGCAGGGGGCGTAGAGCCGCCCTGAGAGCTGGAGGGCCGGAGGCGGCTGGGTCCACAGGGGGCAGGGGATATTATGCAAATAAACGCACGTGAGTACCTGCCCGGGGCGGGGACAGCCTCGGCTGTGCTGGGCCGAGGACGGCTGCCGCCAGATGCAGGAGCTTCGGAGGCGACCCGAAGGAGGGTTTTTGCGCTAAGCGTACACAGAGCACAAAGGACTTGGCCTGTGGGCTGGGTTCCGGCGCCCCGGAGCTCAAGGACCAGACCCGTCGCCTCAATCTGCCAGCTTTTTGCTACTGACACCTCCTCCAAGAAGCCTTCCTTCTCCCATCCCATAAACTTCCCTAGCCTCAGATCCGGCTTTGGCCTCCGCAGTGGTCTCTTCCAGCCTCTCTAGGGTCTGTCCCCAACGCTGCCTCTGAGACCTCTTTACAAACACAGATCTCCACCGCTACGTCCCCAGCCCAGGGGCCGCCCCCTCGTTCCCAACATACACAGGCCTCCCTCCGGGCCTGCCGTGCACCCAGCTCCTTCTGGATGCTGCCCCACGCTCCTTCTGCTGCCTCCCACTCCTCCTTGGTGCTCAGCTTACATGGCGCATTCTTAGGGAGGCCTTCTCTGATCCAGGCTGGGTCAGGGCCCATATGCTGCCCCAGAGCCTCCTTTGGGGACAACTCTCCGGAAGTAATTATGCCTTTGTAGGATTGCTCCTCAGCCCCAGCATACAGATAAGGACCATGGACATCTAGCTAGTGCCCAGATCCACAGAATTTAGCACAGTGCCTGGCATCTGACAGGGACTCCCCTGTTTAAAAGCCACTGGCACCTCCCACTGCCCTCTGTTATCAAGTCCAAACATTTGGCCCTTGGCATTCAAGGCATTTCACACTCTGGTCCCTGCTGACCTCTCCACCATCAGGCCTCCCCTAGTAGGTGATTCTGCCATAACCAAATACCCCTGCGCCTTTCAGGTCTCCCAGTGTTTACAGCCTCTGCCTGGAACAATGATACTAACTACCATTTACAGACACCCACTATGTGCAAGGTCCTTTACATACATTATTCTCACCCTTGCAATAGTCCTGAAAAGCAGGTACTGAGATACCCATTTTCCAAATAATAAATTGAGGCTCAGAAAGGAAATTGATGGCAGACACCAGATTAGAAATTGCTCCCTCTTAGCCACTGGATAGATGCTTGTGGAGTGCTAATGACCCCTCAAAGCAGGGTATATGAAGTAAGGTGGCCTGGTTCCACTAATCACTTGTTCTGTAGCCTTGGACAAGTACTTAACTTCAGTTTCCTCATCTGTAAAATGGGGGTAATCATATCTCCCTCATTTGGACTGTCTAGAGTATTAAATGAGATACTGTGTATAGCTGGCTAGAGTAAGTGGTCAGTAAACATAATCATAGTATAACCATTACTCAACCATCACAGCCTCAGGTCTTCCCTGCCCTTCAATCCCCTGGACTCCCAGATGTCACCTTTACACCCCTGTCACCGAGCTGGTCAGTGTGACCTGCACACTTGTCTCTCCCAGCAGAGTGGGAGCTTCAAGAGGCTGAGGTGAGGTCTCTTCCCTTCCAATGTGCCCACCACCTGGCACAGGGCTCCATCCTGAGAAGGACTGAGCAAGTGACTTAGAGAGTGACTGCTCCCCTGTGACAGCCCTTCTCCTGGGCCTCCTAATTAATTGTCTGGAATTACTGCTCACTCATTGTTTCAGTGGAGCCGACTTGTAATTAATCGGTCACTAGGGTTTGCAGAGTTCTGTCTGCACCAGTCGTCTGGAGCCGCTGGGTTGCTGTAAAGGAACCCAGGGCTTAGATAGCAGAGGCCAGCCAGGAAGGGGTCCCAAGGATGCCCAAAGAATGGTACTGGCTTGACCAATGCCCTGGGTTTGGAGCTTCCAGCAAGGCTGACATTTACCAGTATACACCAGGCAACCACACTAAGTGGTAAAACATGAACATCCATACAGATTAGTTGGTATCCAGCTGCTGCCCAGTCCTTGAGTGATCTTCCACCACCCTGGCTACCCCAACCCTTCCACCAGGACCCCCAGAATCCCCCACTATCCATCAACTCGAGAGTTAAGGCCTGGCCCATGGGAGTCATTGATAATCATTAAGCCTTTTCCCTAGTGATAGACATAGGGAGCGCACCACATCCTAAGGCAGCCCATTCTACTCTAGCTGGAGAGAGCAGACCCAGAAGCCAAAGTCAAGAGTCCACTAGTGGCTGGATGAGTTGGGAACGGGAGCAGACAGCAGAGCTGAGGGACCAGAAGGGAAAGAATTCAGAGAGGCAGAAGGAAAGGGAGCAAGAGCCTGTACAAAGTGGCACATTCTGAGGATGTTGAAAAGGCCATCCTGGCTGGAGCAGAGAATGTGCAGAGGAGAAAATAATAACTGACAATCACTAATGTTTACTGAGCACCAGTTATAAGCCAGGCCATCTACTAGAGTCTTTATCCCGCTTTATACCCACAATAGCCTTGGAAGAAGGGGTTAACACCCTCACTTTATAGGTGAAGAAACAAAGGCTTAGGAAAAAAGTGAACAAGGAACTGGTAGGTAAAATAGGACCAGATCCCTGATGGACCTCAATGCTGCTGAGGGTATGGGCACTCTGGAAGGTTTTTGAGATAAAGGTAACGTACTATGCTTATATTTGTTCTAAGAAAGGACATTCCTATCAGGTCCTTAAGTCTCCCTGTGAGATCAGCCTCACCATCCCCATTTTACAGGTGAGCAACCGAGGAGTTGAAGCCACCTCCAGAACTGGAAGTCAGACCCCTTTTAAGAGACAGCTCTGAGTGTTGACCAAGTTGAACCTGACTCCATTTAGATGCTGTGTGACCTTGGGCAAGCCACTTCACCTCTCTGAGACTTATGGGGTTGTTGTAAGGATGCACTGAGCTCATGGGTATAAGCATCTCACAGTACTAGGCTCTTAGTGGGCTCTCAATCAATTAGTTGGAAGGTGGCTGGGTATCCAGATGGAATGTGGGTGACAGAGCCAGGTGGCCCATTCACAGGCTGTGTGATCTCGGGCAAGTGTCTTTACCTCTCTGAGCATCCGTTTCCTCATGAGTAAATGAGGATCAGTGAAACATAACTGGCCTGTACTCTGCAGAAATGTCAAGTCTTGAAAGACAAAGAAAGGCTGAGGAACTGTTACAGATTAAAGTGGCCTAAAGAGATAGGATGACTAAATGCAATGTGTGATCCTAGACCAGAGTAAAAAATGCTATAAAGAACATTATTGAGACAGTTGGCAGAATTCAATATGGTCTGTAAGTTAGATAATAGCATTGTTTCTATGTCAAATGTCCTGACTTTGATAATCTGGGGCGGGTTATGTAAGAGAATGTCCCTGTTCTTAGGAAATCTGTCCTGATGTATTCAGGGGTAGGGGATCATGTTCAGAACAACAAATCATTACACACACACACACACACACACACACACACACACACACACACACACACACACATGATGATAAAGCAAATGTGGTAAAATGTTCATTGGTGAAGATGGGTAAAGGGTATGTGGAAGTTTTCTCAACTTTAAATTGGAAATTACTTCCTATTAAAGACTTCTTTAAATGGGTCGTAAGAATAGCACCTGCCACTGCCTACCCACAAGGGCTGTTGAGAGGGTAAAGCGGGCTGGCAGGTGCAAGCTGCTGGGCCCTGTGCCTGCCATTCTGAGGGGCCCAGGGGCCCACCTGCACGATCTCCAGCATCTCCTCACGGCTGATATAGCCGTTGCCATCCAGGTCGTACATGCTGAAGGCCCACATGAGCTTCTGCTCCAGGCGGCCACGTGAGGTCACACTCAGCGCGATGATGAACTCCCGGAAGTCGATGGTGCCATCGCTGTTGGTGTCAAAGGTGCGGAAGACATGCTCCGCGAACTTGGAGGCGTCACCATAGGGGAAGAAATTGGCGTAGATCTTCTTGAACTCATCCACGTTGAGGATGCCCGTGGGGCAGTCCTTGAGGAAGCCCTTGTACCACTCCTGCAGCTCCAGCTCTGAGAACTCTGTATTCTCCCGCAGGTCCTGCAGCATCTCGGGCCGCAGCTTGCTGTTCTGCTTGCCCATGGCCACCGAGCCAAGTCCCACCTGGGTCCCCGAGGGGGTCAAGGGACAAAGAGGAGTGGTCAGGCCCTCCTGGCCCCTTGACAACACTCCAGGAGTGCCCCCAGACACCAGCCACTCCAGCCTCTCTTTTGACCCAGTGAGAGAGAGGAGCTGGCCCAAGATCACACAGCTTACATATACCCAGGCACCCTGACACTGTGTCAGCTCCACACCATTTCCCCAGACCTTCTACTTCCCCAGGGAACAGACCTGGAGACAGAGGAAGAGAAGGGGGCTCACCTTTACTGAGGCCCTTCTCAGTGCCCGCCACTGAGCCTTCCCAGGGTATACCATTTCACCCTCACAAAGTGAAGCCTTGGAATTATCCCATTTTACAGATGAAAAGGTAGGCTCAAGGAAGTGAGGTGACCTGCTTCAGGTCACATAGCCATGAAGTGACAGGGCTAACTCCCAGAGTTGCCAAGGGAAGTGCAGAAAGGCCCTCTGATCTTCCTCCCTCCTACCCCCTGCCCCCTTACTGCCTCACATACACCTGCTCACACAAAATACACCTGCAACCCAAACACTGACCTGTTCTCCCTCCCACCTTGTGTGCTTGACAAGAGGCAGAATAAGGTAGGTGTTAGCCTGGGCTCCAGAGCCAGATCACATGGATTTGAATCCCAGCTCTGCTTCTTACCAGCTATGTGACCTTGGGCAAGTTCCTTAAACTCTCTCTGCCTCATCTGTAAAGTGGGGGTAATAGTACCTACCTCATTATTGTTGTGAGGATTAAATTAGTTAATACATATGAAGCACTTAGAAAGATGCCTGCACATATAAGTGCTACCTAAGTGTTAAATAAATTTAAAAGATTTACATGTGTCCAGATGCCAACAGTAAACAAATGAATACATACTGACACATATTATGCTACACAGCTCACCAAATCCACACATGGATCCCATGCCACTCACCAGCACACACCCACCCAGGGTCACCGTGCCTGCACACACGACAACATTCCCTCTGTTCCACAACTCACATGTACTGACACAGCACCATGCACGCACAACTCCCATACCCTGTGCATCGAGACACACCAGCCCACAACCCCACATGTCTCACACATGCCATCACAAGCCAGCTCCCATGCCTACACCTCTCACATGGCCAGCTGCACGTGGGACCTCAGACACCTTTGCCATCTTTCTTTCTTTACCCAGGGGTGCTGCCAGGTGCCAGGAGAGGGAGCTGCAGCCCTTCTCAGGCTTATGACAGCCCCCTCTTCCAGGGACACCCCTAGCCAGTCAACCCTCCCCCAACACTTACCTTTCATCTAGTTCAGAAAGGTCCCCTCAGTGCAGGAGGTTAGACTGTGGGGGGCTGAGGGGAAGGTATTGGAAAGGAGACAGCCAGGCGGTTCTGGACAGGGATGTAGGGATGTGTGTAGGTGAATCTCCCCCCAGGTGTGAGACAGAGTGAGGGGGTTATTCCTTGTGTGTGCATGTGCACATGTGGGTGAGCATGTGTAAGTGCATGTGCTCATGTATGCGTGTGTGTCCCTGGCTTCTGCCTTGCATTTGTCTCCCCTTGTATTTCAATTTATATCTGTGCGTGTGCATATATGTGCGTGTGACTAGGTATGCACCTATTACAGTGTGAGGGGCATGTACCTGTGTGGCCATTTGGGGGACCTGTGTGTGTCCTCAGCAGTGTGTCACATGCATGTTTCTGTAAGTTGGTTCCCTTCCTTTCTAAATCAACCTTTTTTGCCCCAGGCTGAGGATCCACTGAACAAGTGTGTGGGAGGGCACGGAGGAAATGCCTGGAGCCGGGGTGGCTGAATGTGTCCCTTAGTCCCCTCCTCAAGGTCCAAGGAACTGGGTCATCTGGGCGGAGGCAGAGAGACGCGCTGGGCAGGAGAGATCTTCTAGTGCCCCCTCCTCCCTGCCACCCTCTGAGTCCGTCCCCCTGCCCCCAGTTGGAAGAATTGGAAACGAGGGCGGTAATAGATTCTGCTGTCTCCGCAAAGACCCCGTCCCCCAAATGGGAAGGACCTAAGCTCGGTCTGAGAAACCCGCCTCGGAGACCCTCTCCAGTCCTCTCCCCAGCTCTCGCCCTGGCCCCCGCCTCAACCCTTTAAGCACTCGGGGAGCGCCAGGCGCGTGGTCCTTCCTGGAGGGGGCGTCCGGAGGCGGCCGGAACGCGACTCCCCAGGCTGGCCACTCGGAGGTCAGGACCCTGGAGAGCGCCAGGCGTTTCCCGGCGGGAGCCCCACTCCCTGAGTCCCCGGAGGGAAAATTCCTGGGAGGCCCGGGAGCGGCAGGGTTGGGGAGCCCTGGACGTGGCCCCCTACCTCCGGGATGCCCCTTCCTCGCACCCCTTGTCCCCGGCCGAGCAGCCCCCACTCACCCAGCGACGCGGAGACACCGACTGCGCAGGGAAGGCGGCGCTGCTGCAGCGCGCGGCGGCAGAGGCGGCCGGAGGGGCGGGCGGGGGGCGGGGGGCGGGACTGCGAGGGAGACGCCCCGCAGCGTTAGCCCGGTGCCCCCCCTCTGGGGGGGGTCCCCGTTCCTCTCTCTGCCCTCGAGCCCTGATAGTGCGTGGAGCAAAGGGTTAGGCTCCGCCCCCGCCCCTGCCCGGGAGAGGGAAGGGGATGCCCTCACCTCTCCGGCCCCCCTCCCGAGGGAGGTCCCCATCTCCTCAGCCTCTCGACTCAGGTATCCCCCAATACGGTGGACGGTGTGGGTAGTCAGTGGTCAGACACCTCTTTCCTAAGCCGGGGACAACCCCCGACAGCTCCACCCGCCTGCCTCCCCCATCCCTACCTGGGCTTGGAGCCGCAAGTCACAACAAGGGTGGAAATTGGATCCTGGGCGCCTCGATATGTACCCTCCCTGCACCTGCGCCTCAACTCCGGAACTGACTGAGCTCTTCAGAGAGGGGGCAGCGCCCTCTCCTCCAGTCCCTGAGGTCTTGGGGGGCAGACACGCCCCCTACCCCGCCTCTGCCTTAGAGAGCCCCACCCCCTTTTCCCGCCCGCCGCACCGGGTCTCGTGCCCAGGACCTCTCTCAGAATGAATTCCATCCCTTAACGTGGATCTAAATTGCTCTTCCCATTCCCCCCCACTCCAATCAAGAAGCCCTCTCCCTCCCTCCCCAGCCTCCCCAGTGCCTGTACTGGATTGCGGTAAGTGAGGGCTGGGGAGCATCTCCAGCCTGGGGCGTTCTGAGGTGTGTAAGCCCCCTGCCTGCAGACAGGACAGCCCCTTTCCAGAGTCGCTGAACTCTATCAAAGCTTCTCCTGCCAGGATGGGGGCTGCATCCTCCTTCCCACAGCCTCAGCAACAATCCCGACCTCCTGGGCTCGAATTTTGCTCTTTCTGTATTTCCGGGGGGGGGGGGCGTTGATCCTTATTGTCCCCACTTCACAGATGAGAAAACTGAGGTTCAGAGGGGTTAAATGATTTTTCCAATGTCTGACAGCAAGCGAGTGGGCTTGGACTTGAACCCATGTGTCCTCATCCATTCATTGCACAAACGTTTATCAAGCATTAGTTCTGTGCCCAGCACTGTTCTAGGCAGTGGAGTTACAGGAGTGGACAGTAAGGCATGAATATAATATACAAGTCAGTTCTGTAGTGTATTAGATAAGTGTTTTGGGAAAAGTTGAGATCAGTGTGTGGAGGTTGGGATAGTGGCAGTGCTTAGGACCATGCCAAGGACTTTAGATTTTATTCCAGGTGAGATGGGAAGCTCTTGGGGCTTTGAGCAGACTGGAAGCTTACTCAGATATTCTGTCCTCAACTGACTTTGAGGAGTGGGGTCCAGGATGGGATCAGGGGGCCCTCTCAGGATAAGAGATGACCAGGGTGGCAGAGATTGGTCTGGTTTCTGGACCTACTTTGAAGGTGAGCTGACAGCACTTGTCATCCGACTGGACAGCTCCTCCCACTTCCTTGGCAGCAGCTAGGACCCTCATGACTCCCTAGGGCTCAGACCTCCAGGTTCTCAGACCAAGCCTCTCAGGTGGTCCAAATCTAGCCTTAGTCTCTCCTGCTAGAAGACAAGCGGGGAGTCTCAGCTGGAGGAACTGGGGAGCCAGGCCGTTGTGGGTGAGGGCAGCTGGACCCTCCAGAGCATTAGTTCCTCTCTGTACCTTGGCTCTGGTGTTGGGACCCCCAGGGAGGCGCCAGACGTGTGTGGGTGGTTCCCAGCTGCCTCCTGCGAGAGGGCCTGGGGGTGGGGAGAGACTTGCCGCTCAGGGCCCTTGAGTGACAAGCTCCCTCCCCTCTCCCCCCAGGTCTGGAAGGCCGGCTCAGCTTGGGGCTAGGAGAGGGACCTGCCCTTGGCTCCTCCTCACCCTCCTCCTCTTTCCTCTACCCCCTGCCAGCAGCCTGAGAATCTTCCCAGCCAGGTCTGGATCCTCCTCTCCAAACTTGTGGGGGTCTCAGTTTTCCCTCACTGGGGACTGCTCAGCCACTCTGCCTCCTCCCGCTTTCCCCCCTCCCCCACCAGCTTCTCCTGTGGGCTGACTCCTCGGTTCAGCCTCTGGGGAGCCTACTTCCCCCACCCCACTGTTTTTCTTCTCTGTGCGAGTGACTCTGATGCCCTGCCCTCAGGACCCCCAGTCTGCATTTCTGTCTCCCCAGTAGATGGGGCTTCTGAAGACAAGGCTATGTCTTATCCTCACCCTGGGTACCCCACATCTCTTTGACTTTCCATACCTCAAATGAGTAGGGTGGATGGCGGGGACAGGGCAGAGTTTTGGCTCTGGGAGCTCTGCTGATTACTTCCCATCAGCCACCTCTCCTCTCCTGGGGGCCTAAGAAGTACTGGGAGCCATCCTGAGCCAAAAGGGAAGGCGTGGGCCTCCCCATACTGTACCCCAAGGCCATCGGCCCACAGGGTAGAGCCTAGAAAAGGGGGGCAGAGGGCAGTTGTCAGAAGGCCTGGGTCCCTCACTTTGAACGACCTGGAGCAAGTCTCTTCCCCTTTGTGAGGAGAAAGGTTAGACAGGTGACCTGGGTGCTCTGACATCCCCTATCAAAAACACTAACCAGAGCACAGACAAGACAGGCCTCACTTACTGCCTCACTGGCCCCTGGAGGAGTGTGGGGACATGAGTTTTACATAGATGAGATCCCAGTTGCCCCGGAACCCTGCAGGTTTGAAGGATTCTGTGAAGGCCTGTTGCAGGGGTGGAGGTGAGGGGTGCCCTTGCTGATGATACTCAGCAGCCCCCCCCACAACCCAGACTGAGGCATGTCTAGGAGGGAGGGAAATGCAGAAGCGAGTTATCGAGAGAATCAAGGGAGGGATGAGTGGAGAGGGGATTGCATATCTCTTGAGCACCTACTGTATGCAGAGTGCTTTGCCTATGTCACCTCCTTTGATCCAAACTAATCCTGAGGGGGCAGTAATGTGACTGCCATTTTACAGATGTGAAGACTGAGGCCCAGAGAAGTGAAGTCACCTGTCTGAGGTAATACAGCAAGAAAGTGATAAAGCCAGAATTTGAACCCAGTTCCATGTGACTCAGGAGCCCAGGCCCCTCTCTGGAACCTCTCAGTGAGGTAGGTGGACGTAGCCCCTCCCCATCCCCCTCAGAGGCACAGCCCCCAGCCTCCCTCTTAGGTCCCAAATGGTTTGGAAAATCCTGATGGGAGCAGATGGTGGGGACAGATGGAGGGAAAAGCATCTCAGGGCTGAATTACACAAACAAACATTGATAAAGTGATTAAAACCTCAAGCCACCCCTTTCCAAAGGGCCCTGCCCACCCCAGCCTGGAGCACAATGGACCCAGAAGTGGAGACCTGGGGATCTCTGAATGCCCAGCATCTTAGCCCAACTGATCCCAGCTTCTGCTCACCTCCCTCACTGCCGGGGACCACCCCCGGACCAGAGCCCAGGGCGGCAGAGCTGCCAGGAGCACAGCCGGGAGGGGGAGGGGGTGGGCCTGGCTGTTCCTGAGGGAGCTGGGCTGAGAGGAACAGAAAGGGGGGAGGGGGCTTCCCTGGTGGCGCAGTGGTTGAGAGTCCGCCTACTGATGCAGGGGACACGGGTTCGTGCCCTGGTCCGGGAAGATCCCACATGCCGCGGAGCAGCTGGGCCCGTGAGCCATGGCTGTTGAGCCTGCGCGTCCGGAGCCTGTGCTTCGCAACGGGAGAGGCCACAACAGTGAGAGGCCCGCGTACCGCAAAAAAAAAAAAACAAAGAAAGGGGGGAGGGTGGGTAGGGTGGGTAAGTCCTGGGAGCTGGGAACGCAGACCTGAAGTCAGTGGCGGGCATGGGCGTGTTGCGGTGGGGCTGGCATCCCTCAAAGCAAGCCTCACTTTACAGATGGGGCTCAGCTCCCACTGAGCAGGGCCGAACCCTGTCCCACCACCCACCCCCATGGTGGAGGGGGGCAAGGCCCTTCACTTGCAGAAGGTCTGGTCGGTTTCTCCACCTGTAAAATGGAAACTATAATATTAGCACCTCCCTGGAAGGGGCTTGTGAGGATTAAGTGAGATGGAGCCTGTAAAGTTCAGGGCTCTGGGCCTGCACACAGGCAGCACTCCAGGCTGCTAATAGGGCCTCCCTGCTGTTGGAGGATCAGGAAGGCCAGGGCTGGTTGGACAGTGTCCCTCTCCAGAGCAGCAGTCAGGGCTTGGAGATTCCGCCGCAAGAGCCCCTGAGGCTGCAAGGCTCTGCAGCAGGGGGATCCTCCTGGGTAAAAGCAGCTGAAGAGCACCAACTCCCCCCCCCAAAACCCCAGTAAAGGCAGCTGATGACTCTGCCCAGCCCAGAATCCAGGACCCCCAGGGAGAGAGAAAGGGGCCGGGTCTTTGCCAGTCCCTCACTATGAAGGAACGGACTTCGGAGGGCAATAGACCCAGGCTCAGATCTTGATGTGGTCCCTTCCCAGACTTGGGAAAGTTGGCAAAAACAACCCTTCTGACCCTCTGGCTCCTTCTCTGCAAAACCTGCATTTCCAGCTGCTTTCTGGACTTGCTCTCACAAACCCACAGACACCTCAAGCCAGTCAGTATCCAATCCATCGCCTTCCACCACAGCCTGCCCTGTGCCTGGTCCCCCTCCATCACCAAACAGGCCTGAGATCCACCATCCAGGACCCCTCCCTTCTCCTCATCCCCACACCTGCTTCTTTCCAAGTCAGCGTGTCTACTAGGTACGTCTCTCAGGCCTGACCTCCTCTCTCCTCTCCCCTTCCCCACGTCCTTATCGGATTGGCCCTGTATGATGGCTCTGGCTCTTTTACAGCTCCTGCCTTCAGTTTCTCTAAATCTAATCCCCTTCCTCCCTGCTTAATAACCTTCCATGGCTCTCCACTGCCTACCAAAGTAAGTGGACATTCCAGGCTCTCCATGACAGACCCCAACCCTAGCTTCCCATCTCAGCTCTTCCCGTCCACCTTCCTTCAAC